GTTTTGCTCCCGGTATTCAGCACTATGAGGTCGAGTCTAGCCGCGACGTCAGCGACCTCGTTTCCTCTGGTATCGGAGAAAGCAGCGCCCCACTCAGCTGATTTAGCGTTGAAGTCTCCGGCTACGATAACTTCACCGTCGAACTTAATGATCGCATCTTCTATATTTAACAGTTTCTGTCGGAACACACTAATCCCTTCGTTAGGTAAGAGATAGACGCTCATGAAGTAGGTTGTGGGAGTTTGGATCCAGACAAAACCTGCTCCACTTCCGCTGTTGTTGACGGTCACGTTCTTTGTGTTCACAATCCAAATTGCTGCCGTGCCCGTTTTATCTGCGAACCATATTTTACCTTCGATGTTTAGATATTGCTTGCAGATAAAGCAGACGTCAATTTTATCTTCAAAAACACGCTGGCGCAGCAGGTTTTGCGCCAAGGCGCACCTATTCAGGTTGCTTTGTAGTATGCGTGTCATTTCTGACCTCTCGTGGCTTCTGCAAGTGCTTTGCGGAATGCCTTGCAAGCTCCAGTGCCAGAAATATGGCATAGACTATCCTGGGCATCTTTGTCCGAAGCACAAAGGAAGCATTTTAGCTTCTCCGTGCAGTTTACGGCCTTGTGGTTCTCTCCGCCACATTTGTAACAGCACTTGCTTCTGACTGGTCCCGCACACTGACGTGTGTGGTGTCCATAACCAAGACATTTAAAACAACGTGATACTTTTGCTACTGGGCGTATACGACAGTTCACCAAACCGATCCGTATACGGGCCTTGTCAAGGGCTTTAATCGCACTGGGCTCGTCTAATTCGCAGAAGGCTGCCCGATTACCTCGTGGTGTGGGCTTTGTCAAATTGACCCGTTTGACCTCCAGGCTGTCAGTGAATTCACGTTTGAGTGCTTCACAGACTTCGCTCTCGGTAGAGATTTCATCCAGGTCGAGGATCTCGATCGTTGCTGTTGGTGTTAGCGTCTTGACCGTGCCGATGTTTGCAGTAGCTGACTTTACTGCATCGGTGAAAGCCTTACTGTCCTCGGTCTTTCGAGAGATTTCAAGGAGAACGCCTCCATGTTTCGTCTTTTTAATAGACTTTATGTCTACGCCCGTCTCGACAGGGCTTACCTTAGCCTTGATTTCCCTGAGGAGATCGGCGTATGTCCGCCCTTCAGCTGGTTGGACAAGCACAGCTTTAGTTCTCGTCCTCTTCCTTCTCGGTTTCTTGGAGCCATCATTGCTTGGCTGGTTTTGGGCTGTAGCAGATTGAGCTGCTGGCTTCTGTTCTCTATCCTTCTTTTTCTTTTGCCAAGTCACTTTAGTCCAAGTATCATCCCGGGCTGGCTTTTTCTGTGATGGCTTGTCAATTTCTGCGGAGGGGCTGGGCGTGGAAAATAGCCTCTTCGTGTTGTTGCCCTCTCCTTGCTGTAATAATCTCTCAGGAGTGACCACAGGTGGCTGTGGTTTTTTGCTCAGACTCGGAGATGTTTGAGTCGTTGACGCTGTCGTCGTTGGTGATTTATTGGCAAGCCTATATGCCGTATCAAGAGACGTAACCATTTTTCTGATCTCGTGATAGACATTTTTCTTGTCCTTTATGAAGTCGACTAGCTCTTCAATCTTGCTGCCGAGTCTCTCCATTGGTGACTGTTGGCTCGTGACAGTCGGTACGGAGTTTATTCTTCCTCGGTAGGTTTGGTTTGTGACAGGAGCAAAAGGTCCTCCACTTTTTGAACGACCGTTGTTCAGCTGTCCGTTCTCCTCCATCTGGGCTGTTTTCGTACTCCCTGTAGCATTTCCAGACAGCAGAGCCATGGGGTCTACCCTGCTGTCGTAACGGTCGCATGATAACGACAAGTTCGGGCCCGTTTGCACGCCTTCTATCGCCGGCACTGAGGTATCGATCCTCTGTACTGTAAACGATGTTTGCATATCTTCTGACATTTCCATATCGTTGTTTGGTGTTGTTCATTTAGCACTACCCGGAGAGCACGTGTAGGGTGTAAAAGCAGAACCTACGGACGCGAACAACGCTACCCTCCAGTGTGTGTGTGTGTGTGTGTTTTTTCCCCTTTAGGGGGGGGGGGGAATCTGTTTTTTCGTTGGTAAAGGTTCCGTCTTTCTTCAGCTAGGACTCTGAGAGGTAGAGTTCCAGAAATGATGCACACTGCTTCCTCAGATATTGTGCGGAAGGCGCAAGCTACTCTTAGGGCACTCAGACGATATACTGGTCCAGCCTTTCTCCATGATTCTTGCTTTTCTAGTGCGTCCGCCCAGATAGATATTCCGTAAGTGAGCACTGACGTAATTACAGATGATAGTAGTAGTCTTCTGCTCTGCTTTGGGCCTCCGACGTTTGGCATCAGCCGTGCTAAGCTAGCTACCACTGCTGATGCTTTTGCACTCACGTGTTCGACTTGCTGCTTAAAGTTGAGTCGGGCATCAAGCATCACTTCCAGATATCGGATATATGGTTATGATGTGATTTCTTGTTCTCCGACTTTCAGTTATATGGTCTCTATCACTTTTCTGCTGATAAGAAGCACAGCCTCAGTCTTCTGTTTAGCCAGTGGTAGATTCATTGAATCCATCTACCGGTTAACTTTCTCAAAGGTGATACTGAACATGCGGTTTATCTCATCTAGGTGTTTCGCAACGATTACGACAGCTACATCGTCTGCGTATGCAACAAGCTTGACACTTCTTGGTAGAGTCAGTCTCAGCAGGCCATCATACATGACATTCCCCAGAAGTGGACCCAGAACAGAACCCTGGGGTACGCCTCCGGTAACATTGTACTCTTTTGGACCATTCTTCGTGTCGTATCTCAGGATTCTGTCCGTGAAGTAGCTAGCCACTATCCTACGTAGGTATCCTGGTACGTTTTTCTCTTCCAGAGCTTGCATAATGCAGTCCCAGTTGGCGGAGTTAAAGGCATTTTTGATGTCCAGAGTTGCCACCAGGCAGTACTTCTTCGCTCCACCCTTCCATCTGATCCCTTCGATTGCCTCCTTGGCTGTTGCAACAACCAGGTTGATTGCGTCCAGGGTTGATCGTCCTTTCCGAAAACCATACTGGTTGTCTGCCAGGAGTGGATCAACAACTGCTTCTATTCTTTGGTGGATTATACGCTCAAGTATCTTACCTGCCGTGTCTAACATACAAAGTGGTCGATAAGATGACGGTTCTTCTGGTGGCTTTTTTCCTTTTAGAAGTAGTACTAGTCGTTGCTGCTTCCACTTCCGGGGGAAAATCCCTTCCTTGAGGCATGTGTCGTAGACGTCCAGGAACAATGATGGCACTGCTTTTATAGTTGTTTTTAAGGCAATATTGGGGATCTCGTCCAATCCCGGCGCTTTATTGTTCCCTACACGATTACAAGCCTCCATCAGTTCTTCCTCCGTGACAAATGGAATGTCATCCATTTCATTCTGCGCTAATAGGTAGTTAAACTCGCTTTGTCCGGGGAACAACGCGTTTACGATCTTCTGAAGGAGTTGAGGACACGTGGGTGATGGCATTAGCTGGTTTTTAAGATGGGTCATAACCACCTTATACGGCCGACCCCACAGATCTTTGTCCACCTCGTTGATGAGCTCCTTCCAGCATTTTCTTTTGCTATCTTTGATGGCTTTGTTCAGGGATCGACGGGCTTTTTTGTGCTCTGCAACCAGTTCCACAGAGTTAGTTTGTCGGTAGCCACGCTGAGATATTCTTCTCTTTTGATGACACTCTTTACGAAGGGCGCTGATGTGGTCGTTCCACCAGTGAACGGAAGGTCTTGTGTTCATGCCACGTCTGCGAGACATACTGGCGTCGCACGCCTGGGTCACTCTTTTCATCAGGTCCTTGGTCTTCTCTTCTGCGCAGCCCGCGATAATCTGGTCACTATTGAGAGCTACTAACAATGCACTTGGGTCAAGAGTTTTTACCTTCCAGCCAATGTTAAGTTGCTCTTTAGGTCTTCTCGGGCTCTGGGCGTTTAATATTTCCCAGAGAATCGCGTTGTGGTCGCTGGCTGTGTAGGTCACCTTCCAGTTGATATTACCTCTGGTGAGGCTGCCACTGACGAAAGTGAGATCTACAATAGAACTTGCGTCTCCCTTGGTGTAGGTTGGTGTGTCACCACTGTTGAGCAGTACTACATCTAATGTAGAAAAGGCTTCTAGTAATTCCTTTCCTCGCGCGTTTGTATGCTTGCTGCCCCAGTCTACTGCCCAGCCGTTGAAGTCCCCAGCTATTGCTACTGGGTGGTAATGCTTCGCGTCCTCGGTAAGTCGATCCAGAAATGCAGTGAATTCGACAGTAGAGAGGCTAGGTGGTGCGTAACAGCTATAGAAGCAAATGCCCTCTACCAGTAGAGGGCATTCGCTTCTATAGCTGTTACGCACCACCTAGCCTCCCTACTGTCGAATTCACCGCATTTCTCGATCGACTTACCGAGGACGCGAAGCATTACCATCCAGTGCAATAGCTGGGGACTCCAACGCCTGGGCAATAGACTGGGGAAGCAAGCATACAAACACGCGAGGAAAGGAATTACTAGAAGCCTTCTCTACATTAGATGTAGTACTGCTCAACAATGGTGACACACCAACCTACACCAAGGGAGACACAAGTTCTATTGTAGATCTCACTTTCATTCTCTGCACTTTTAATCTCAGCACATAATGCACATTTGGCTGGATTTTCGCAATCAGCAATCTTGTGCCCTTCTTGTCCGCACCTGATGCAAAGCCTAGACTGATCGACTTTACTTTTGCACTGGGATCGGAAGTGCCCAAAGTGCCAGCATTTGAAACATTGGACAGGTCTCTTCCTTGATCTTATTCGACTGTTGGCCCAACCAATTCTCACTTTGTTGTTTCCTTCTAGTAGCTTCTGTGCAGTTGTCGTTGGTAGCGTCACTGTAGCAGTCTGAGTATCTCTGTAGGCTTTACGGATCTTGATCGACTCTAGAGGTATTTCACAGGTTTCTCCGGTTTCTTTTTTCAGTGCAGTTTGAATGTCTGCCTTCGTTGTGTCGTCATTGACGTCTCGGATCTCGATAGTCTCCTGTAGCCCTTTGCATATCACTTTGGCTTCCTCTTTAAGGATGTCCGCGATGGTCTTTTGTAGGGCTTCGCCTCTATCAGCACTCTTTCTCGAAAGTGTGATCAGCATGTCCACGGTATTGGTCTTGTGGATTTTCTCCACGGTCGTACGGACCTGTTCATCAGGGACGGACTGCTTGATTCAACGCAGGATCTCGGCATATTTCTCCTTCTCGGCCGAGCGAATGATCAGAGCGTCGGGTCTGATGTGTGTGTGTGTGTGCGTGTGTGTGTGTGTGTGTGTGTGTGTGTGTGTGTGTGTGTGTAAGTATGTAAACCTCTTATAACTTTTGAACGGTTGAATCGATTTTATCGCGGTTGGTGCTATTAGAAAAGGCTTCACTACACTTAGATTTCCTGAAAATTTGAACCAATTCGGACCGATAGATTTTGAGAAATTTAGAGAAATCTCCAAAAAAAATAGGAAAAAATTTTTTTCAAAAGTGGTTTTTTTGGAATAACTTTTAAACGGCTCTACCGATCGATTTCAAACACTAATTAGCTCTCAACCTTAAAAAACCACGTCGATTGCCACCAATTCGGTCAAAATCGGTTGATTCGTTCAAGAGATATCGTGAACGAAAAAAAACCGAAAAAAGTGTTTTTTCGGAATTACTCCGAAATTTCTAGTTTAACCAATTGAAACTTAAGAATTCTTTTCGAGGCTTAAAAAAACTGCGTAGAATGCCGCAAACCGTGTGAAAATCGGTTTATTCATTCAAAAGTTATTGCGATTTGAAAATAAAAAAAATAGTGTTTTATCAAACTTCTATCAAACTTTTGAGCTCGAAGAGCTCAAAAGCATACAAAGGCTATTTTTTGAGCTCGGAGAGCTCAAAATAATACACAAATTGTATTTATGAGCTCGAAGAGCTCTAAAACGTCATAATTGCAATTTCAAGCGTTTAGGTGTAGAATTGGCGGGAAGTTGCAGGGATGCCCACTTCAGGGTCAACCGTATTCCTAATTTTTTTTTCTTGGTATTATGCACTAAACATCAAAGTAACAGAATCCGCAAAAAAATTTGACTGCTCGCGATTAGATTGAATAATCAAAAAATTTATTTATGACGGGCGGTGAGCAATGTCGATACGGCGCGCTGCCGCGCGTCATTCGCTTAGCTTTTTATCTACTCAATAATTGTAAATAAGACGTAATACTTTATTTTTTTAATAAAAATAATGTTATTTAATGAATAATTTTATTAAAACACATGACATAAAATTAATTATTAAATTGTTTTTCTCATTATTATATAAGCAAAGAAATTAAATAAGGTATAATTTAATTATAAATCTATCGGTATTGCGTTATTTTTTTTTTTTTTAAACACTTTATTTGTAATAATTTTAATGTCTTTGAAAAAAAGTTTGCACCCGAGTGATGTATTATCTAAAGCTTTATTAAGATGATACTGTTGTGTATTTTTAATTGTTACAGATTGCTCATACCGGGATTTATATTGTTGTTAATGAGCGTCATGGTCTTGTTGAGAGCAGAAACCAAAGTTAACTTTTTTAAATGATTTTCCAGCCCATTCAAACAATAAATCCCTATTAGTTATGAGCTTTTTTGACCAGTGTCAAAAGACAAGCTTATCGTGCAAGTCTTCAGGGGGATAATGATAAGCATATAACTAATTGGATTTCATTGTTTGAATGGGCTGAAAAATCATTTTAAAAAATTAATTTTGGGTTCTGCTCTCAACAAGACCATGACGCTGAAACGGAATGTTTTGTTTCCCTTGGTCGCCCCTTTTACTCTTAAGGACGCCACTGGATTTTTGGACTCAGTATCCAGAAACTAGACCAGAACATGAAGTGCTAGGTCAGGGTCGTGAGAGATTGCTTAAAGGAACTAAAATTTAGACACAGAAATTCGTTTAACAAAATTATTTATTCATCCAATCCCTCTTACAATTGAAATAATGGCCAAAATAACAATATATAAAATTTCATGGATAACAATCCACACTCACACTCATTCTCATACGGTATATTTCGCGCTGTCCAGCTAGACCCTCACGTGGCTGTAGTACCCGATACCTACTGGACTCTCACGTTACTCTATCTACTTCGCGTCGTCCCCTGGACCTCTAACGCTACTCTAGCTTAGTTTGCGCGGTCTCACGAACTCTCACGCCACTGAGCTGGACCCGGACGTAACTACACACGTTGTCCACACAGCGCACGCTGTCGCCCAAACTTCACACTACTCTAAGAGAACTACCCCGAAGCCAGAGGAGTATACCATGAAACCGAGATAGCCTCTTTACTCACACACAACCACACTATATTCCAATTCCAATATTGCACAAATTATTTCCAACTAATAACACAATTTCCAATATTGTTTCCTAATTAACGATTTCTTATTTACTAATTATTATTTCTTCTAAATACTAATTTACTGCCGTGTTCTTAATATTACGACAATAAATATTTAAAACAAGAGATCTTCATATCTTGAATTAATCCTAATTGTTATGTCCGAGAATTTACTTAATAAATTTTTATCTTCATTTTAGCAAACTTAAATGAATACGATAATTAAGCAATCCTAAATCTGTCTTAAGTTATTTTTATTTAATCCAAATCGTTTTATTTAATTTTGTGTCATTTTATTTAATCCAGTAATCAGCAGTAAATTTTACTAAATTTTATCCTCATTGTAAATGTGAAATTATGACAAAAGATTATTCTATTATATTTTATTTTGTGTCTATTGAAACTTAAAATTTTATTTTACTTGAGTTTATTTTATTTTAACCGAACGGAGACTTTTATCTCGACCTTGAGTGTCCTCTACTTAACGTTCTCGCGCGGGACAAGATGGCTGACGCTCTCGCTCGGTCTGGCGTCTTTGTCACTCGACTCCGGTATCGTTTTTTTTCAAACGAATTTTTTACAATTTTTATTTTCTACTTTTTTTTACTAAATAATTTAGATTGACAATTACATTGATTTTAATGATTATTTCCTGAATCTAGATTTATTTAGATTATGACAAATATTAAATAATGCGCCAAATAATTTATTAAAATAATTTTAGTTTGGAATAAATTGTTCTCTTAAATAATTTTAATTTTGCGGTTTACTCAATCCTATTTCTATTGGCTTAAGCCAAATTATTGTTCAAAGATATTCAAATAATAAATTTTACACATGGCGTAAAAATCTGGAATTAATAACCCGAACTAAATCCCTAGTATTATTAACTCAGACAGGCCTACGTGTAAAATACGTAATGACAAAAACAACTTATGTTCCCTAAACAAATTAATCAATAACCCGAAACCTGTCCTGGAATTATTAATTAATTGTCTTATAATTTCTCTGATATTAATATTAAATCTGATACTAAATTAATAAAGATTGTGACTGAGCACGAAATGGCGGTAACCTTCAGCCGACATGTTGCCAGGCTGATGCCGCAGACCCGAAGAATAATTAAGACTCGTTATTTGTACCTGGAGTATTCTTATAATTTTATCTGCACTCCAACAGTGAGCTGCAACTCCTCGTCGTCGGGTAATGGCGTGGATTTTCCCTTGGTGAGGTATTCTCGATTTGGCGGCAAACTCTGGTCATCATCACTCGCTCTCTAGGTATTTATTACGCCTGTAACCGCAAATCAGCATTAGAAATTATCACAAATTAAAGTTAATCTAACCAAGCTAGCATTAGGCCTAGCAAGCATTAAATTAACAAAATTTTATCGCTTCGTTCCACGTTAGACAAGCAGAATTAAAATAATTACCTCAGTTAGATGTTTTAGAAAAATTTGCGTCTCGTCTATTCGAGCTACTCAGTCACAATGAGTCTTACCAAATTTTGCTCGTTCGTTCTTGCTTTTTCTGCTCTCCCCACTACCACTACGCCGGCTTCTCCACCTTGGGGCCTTTCTTACTAGCTCTAACCAAGCTATAGATCACAGCGCACTGTGAGCAGTCGATAAATAACTGGGTACCGGAATAGGGGAATTTACCGAATAACAATCACTCCGTTACAACGCTCATTAACAACAATATAAATCCCGGTATGAGCAATCTGTAACAATTAAAAATACACGACAGTATCATCTTTATAAAGTTTTAGATGATACATCGTTCGAGTGCAAACTTTTTTTCAAAGACATTAAAATTATTACAAATGAAGTGTTTAAAAAAAAAATAACGCAATACCGATAGATTTATGATTAAATTATACCTTATTTGATTTCTTTAGTTATTAAATAATAAGAAAAACATTTTTTCAATTAATTTTGTCATGTTTTTTAATGAAATTATTCATTAAATAATATTATTTTTATTATAAAAATAAAGTATTACTTCTTATTTACAATTATTGAGTAGACTAAAAGCTAAGTGAATGACGCGCGGCAGCGCGCCGTATCGACAGCGCTCACCGCCCGTCATAAATAAATTTTCTGTTTGTTCAATCTAATGGCGAGTAGTCAAATTTTTTTGCGGATTCTGTTACTTTGATGTTTAGTGCATAATACCAAGAAAAAAAAATTTTATTTTTTGAGGGAGAAGTCATTGAAATTTTCATTTGTTAACTTAAAAGTTAATTAACAATATGAAAATTAATAAATGATATGATCTTTTATATATTATATCAAAGTACAACTATTGAACTATGAATCCTGAAAGTTTCATTAAAATATCTTTAATAGCTTTTTATTTATTGATTTTTTAATTAAAAGTCATAAAAACTTTCATTAAAAAAAAATGTTGTAAAAATGAAAATTTTCAAAAACTGTTTTAGGAATTGATTGTTTATAGTAAATACTCCATGAAAAAAAATTCATACCTAAATTTAATAATCAAGTGGAAAAAGGGGGGTCCACTTGACGTGATCTTGGTCAAAGGTAAATTGATGAGCTTTTACATAAATTTTTCAAAAATTAGCTATCTCTTTTCAATCAAAAGTTATACGTCAATGATGTCACCAAAAATGTGATTTTAACTATTTTGAAATTTTTAAATGGCCGCCATTTTTAAACTAATTGACGGATTTAGTTCATCTTCGAACTTTTCCGAGGTTATTATCCAAATAATATGTGTACTACACTGTAAAAAATCCGAAGTGAATCGGGAGTGAATTTCACTCCGATTTCACTCCCATCACTCGGAGTTCCGGAGTGAAGTAATTAATCACTCCGTGTAGGGAGTGAATCCGGAGTTTTTATTTGCAGAGTGATTTCGGAGTGATTTCGAATTTCACTCCGAAAAACATCCGCGTTCGGAGTTTTTAAAATAAAAAAATAAGGATGAATTTTCGTTCTACAAAAAAAAATCTCAAGATTAATTTACTATAAGAGTCATTCCACGTCAAATCGTCCAATAGTTGGATTTGACCCCTTTCGATGTAGACAAATTGTGGTCAGATATTTTCTTTTATCCTATAACGAAGTTCTGCCAAAGGAAAAAAATTAAAAAAATTTTTTTCAAAAGTTATGCAAAATCCAAAATTTCACTATTTTCCATATTTTTTAAACTTATGATTTAAAAATCTCGAAAACGAATGCAATTAAAAAAATCGCATTGAGTAAGTTTCAAAGGGGATACTTGGGACTATTCAAAAAAAAAAATTTCCGAAAAAAAATTTTGAAAAATCTCCAATTTGTGAAATTTTGAATTTTTGAAAATTGTTAAAATTGACCGTCGACAATAAATTTTTTGCTCAAATTTTTTGTGCACTACCTTGTACCAAACTTAAAAGATCTTAAAATTGTTTAATCTGTGTTTTTTGTTTTTTTTCAAAAATATGAATTTTTGAAATTTGTCAAAAAAAATTTTTTTCTTAAATTTTTAACTTCCCGCTAAGAAAATTGAAAATTTTCAAAAATCGGGAAGTTATTGGTTTTACCCCGTTTTTCGAAAATCGAGTCTTCATCAGATCTCGACATTTTGAGGTCATAGAAAGCTTCTCTGACTATTCTCGCGAGGGTGTCACTATGTCTGTATCTATGTATGTATGTGTGTATGTGTTTGTGTGTGTGTGTGTGTGTTTTTTTTTCCCCTTAGGAGGGGGAATCTTTTTTACAGATTCTAGGAGTTGCTGTTTGGCTTGGATATGTGGCGACTCGACGCAGCGTCATACTAAAACTCGACGCTAACGCCCCTACCCACTAAACCCTAAACCCCTTTCCTCTTTCTTCTAGTCCTTTATGAAAACCGCCGTTAGGCATTACTTCGTGAGGGGAGGATATAGCGACTGCTCTTCCTTCTGGTAACAAAGGTATTAATTTACCTTTCTTCTAGTTGTTGTCATTTGCTCTTTTTCTTTCGATGGAACGCAAGTCTATAAGGATTTCTGTTGCAAACGTGTTTGCGGCGTTCCAGGCAGCCTCTGATGACAGCATTGCTTCTACTATTGTCTCTGGTTGGATTTTCTTCTTCAGGATCATCTCCAGCTCATCTCGCTGTGGGTAAAATCGTGGGCACTCAAAGAAAACGTGCTCCGCGTCTTCATTGATTCCTGGGCAGGACGGCCACTCCGGTGAATCATTATGCTTGAAGCGGTGAAGATACGTCCGAAAACATCCATGTCGTGACAACATCTGCGTCAGATAGTAATTGACCTCGCCATGACTTTGGTTTAGCCAAACGTCGATCTTCGGTATGAGACGGTGTGTCCATCTTCCTGTTGTCGCGGCGTCCCACTGCGATTGCCATCGTGCGATGCTGTTCTGCCGTTCTTCAGCTCTGAGTTCCTCGGCACTTAGTGTGGTTGACCTCTTTCGTTGGTAAAGGTTCCGTCCTTCCTCAGCTAGAACTCTGAGCGGCAAAGTTCCGGAAATGACACACACTGCTACTTCTGATATCGTGCGGAATGCACTGGCTAGTCTTACAGCGCTCAGTCGATATACTGGTCCAGCTTTTCTCCATGATTCTTGCAACTTCAGCGCGTCTGCCCAAATGGATATTCCATATGTGAGCACTGATGTGACAACTGATGATAGTAGCAGTCTCCTGCTCTGCTTTGGGCCTCCGACGTTCGGCATCAGTCGTGCGAGACTAGCCCTCACTACTGACGCTTTGGCACTGACGTGTTCCACTTGCTGTTTAAAGTTGAGACGGGCATCAAGCATCACTCCCAAATATCGGATATAAGGTTGTGATGTGATTTCTTGTTCGCCAACTTCCAGCTTGATGGTCTCTAACACTTTTCTGCTGGATATAAGCACTTCCTCAGTTTTGTGTGTTGTCAGATGCAGGTTTACCGTATTCATCCACTGATGAACTCGCTCGAAGGTGATGTCGAACATGTTGTTAATCTCGTCAAGGTGTTTAGCAACGATTACTACGGCTACGTCGTCTACATACGCTACGAGTTTTACACTTCTTGGCAATTTCAATCTCAATAGGCCATCGTACATGATATTCCACAGCAGTGGACCAAGTACAGAGCCCTGGGGTACACCTCCGGTAATATCGTACTCTTTTGGACCATTCTTCGTGTCGTACTTAAGAACTTTATCGGTGAAATAGCTGGCCACTATTCTACACAGGTATTCTGGAACGTTTTTCTCTCGAAGAGCTTGCATGATGCAGTTCCAGTTGGCGGAATTGAAGGCGTTTTTAATGTCCAATGCCACCACCAGGCAATACTTCTTTGTGCCACCCTTCCATCTGGTTCCTGCGATCGCTTATTTAGCCGTGCTTACAACCAGATTGATCGCATCCAGGGTTTATCGTCCATTTCGGAATCCATACTGGTTGTCTGCCAGAATGGGTCGACTACTGCAACTATTCGTTGATGAATTATGCTTTCAAATATCTTACCCGCCGTATCTAGCATGCAAAGTGGTCGGTAAGATGAAGGTTCTTCTGGTGGTTTCTTCCCTTTAGGTAACAGTACCAATCGTTGCTGTTTCCACTTACGAGGAAAAGTCCCCTCCTTGAGGCATGCATTATAAACGTCTAGTAATAATGTTGGAGCTGCTTTTATGATGGTTTTCAAGGCTATATTAGGGATTCCGTCCAATCCCAGCGCTTCATTATTCCCTATACGGTTACAGGCCTCCAGCAGTTCGTCTTCAGTGACAGGTGGAATGTCGTCCGGTTCGCCCGGCGCCAACTGGTAATCGAGCTGTGGGAGCAGTGCAGTGACGATTTTCTGAAGAAGTTGAGGAAACGTAGGTGATGGCATTTATTGTTTTTTCAGGTGGGTCATAACCACCTTATAAGGCTTACCCCACACGTCTTTATCCACCTAGTATATAAGCTCTTTCCAGCATCTTCTTTTGCTCTCTTTGATGGCTTTATTCAGTTCACGACGCGCCTTTTTAGTAGATTTTATAAAAATCTCACCATTGCAGCCGTCATCATGGCACAACTTTTAAAAAATTTAGCCATTTTCTGCCTCAGTTTGTCGAGCTGAGTCAGAAAATATATATAGTTCAAAAGTTTATATATATATATGTATTTATATTACGGTGTGGCTTAATGTATATAGAATAAATGAAAGGAAATTTAGTATAGACCGGATAGCTCAAATGGTAGAGTAGCCGACATGTCTTCGGAAGGTTCTGGGTTCGAATCCCAGTCCGAGCTATCTAATAATTTTTTCTCACATATAGTCGAGTCGCGTTATGAGCCCTCCTTGTGTCTCTCTCTTATTAACGCGAGTCTGGTTAAAAAACAAAGAAAACAAGCCGGACTCATAACGCGATTTGACTGTATTCTATACACTCACATTAAGATGATCCTCTCCACAATCTTTTCTCAATCCTTTCCTACCAAAATATCCTGTTACGTGAATGTTGGAACACTTCACGTAATAATTATCCGTAACTCCTATTCTTTCCCGCTTCACAGCATTATTTATATTTGTTTGTGTTTCTCTATTTGTTTGCGTGTATCTCTACACGCAAAATCGTGAAGCGTTCCACATTTTTAACAAATATAAATAATAAGTGAAAGGAAATTTACTTGTGTATAGAATATGCGAGAAAAAATCATTAGATAGCTCGGACTGGGATTCGAACCCAGAACCTTCCGAAGACATGTCGGCTACTCTACCGTTTGAGCTATCCGGTCTATACTAAATTTCCTTTCACTTATTCTATATACATTAAGCCACACCGTCCATCTTACGGCTAGCATTTAAGCAATTTAGTTAACGGTTTTGCGATGTAGGAATATTTTTCAATGAACCTACGATAATAACCCGTTAAACCCAGAAATTCGCGAACGTTTCTCTGCGTTTTAGGAACTGGGAACTCCCTTACTGCCGTTAGTTTAGCAGGGTCAGGTTTCAAACCTTCCCTACTGATAATATGGCTTAAATAATGGACTTCCGGACGAAGAAACGCGCATTTATCGAGCTGTTGTTGTAAATTTGCTTGTCGAAGCCTGGTTATTAATTGATCGATCTTTAGAGCATGATCTTCAAGATCCCGAGCGAAGACAATAATATCATCTAGATATACAAAGAGTGCTGTACCCTGTAATCCAGTTAAAACAGAATTTATCAACCGCTGGAAGGTCGCCGGAGCATTTTTCAATCTAAAAGGCATTCGGAGATATTCCCAATGTCCTTGAGGCGTAGAAAAAGCTGTTTTATGGCGATCCTTGGAATCCATTTCAATCTGTTTATATCCAGAAGCTAAATCGAATACGGAAAAATATGACGACTCTCCCAACTGATCAAAAATATCAGTGATATTCGGCAATGGATATGCGTCGGTGATAGTTTCGTCATTCAAAAGTCTAAAATCTATCACCACGCGCCAACGTTTATTGCCTTGAGAGTCGGCCTTCTTCGGAACTATCCACACTGGACTGTTGTATAGAGATTCCGAAGGTGTTAATATGCCGGTATTTAAACCCTCTCTCACTTGTCTATCTAATTCTTCTTTTAAAGCTTGAGGAATTCGATATTGTTTGACAGTGACAGGGCGATCGCTAGTGGTGGGTATCCGATGTCGGTATTTACCGGAAGAACTTAATTTTTCCCCAGGTATATAAAATCTATCGGCATACTTTCTTACCAGCTCTTCTACATGAATTTTTTCCTCCTCGTTGAGATAGTCTAGATGCAACAAGGGTTTGACTTTTTCGAATCTTTTTAGATCCGGAAGATTATTTACAATGTTAAAAATAGGTTTTGTAATATCGAATCGGGCATGAATGTCTTTAAGAGATGAATCTTGAGTCTGAGCTATCTCAACTTCGCGAATAGCCAGAGTCGCGATTTTTACAGCGACCTCCTTTTCGGTGGTATTACAAATCTGGAGATATGCGCGGTTCTTATTACTGACTTTAACTAAACAGTTACCAGCGAATACTCCTTTACAGATTTTTAACTTAGGTATAGAACCTTCCCGAACCTCTGGATTTTGAACGTTTACGAAGAATGTCGATTCACTCCGAGGTGGAACATACATTATACCGTTATCGATCCTATTGGCTTGGCGAAAAGAGAATTTTTCACCATCCATTTTCAATATTTTATTTTTATAATCAATTTTCGCCCCGTGGGTCGCGAAGAATTGCGATCCCACTAGACCAGCATGGGGTATTACCATGTCGTCTGGGACTATATGACACACCGTCATCTTTCCAAAGAGTCTAATTTTAATGCTTCCTAGAGTGCTATGTTTAACCGCTAGAAAAAAGATCTAGTCAAATACTTATAAGAAGAATTACGTCTTCGGGCTTAATCGTTAAAACTCGGGAATAATCGTATAAACTCGGGAATAATCGTATCACGCTATGGCCGTCGCTCATGCGCGCCTTGGTTAGCGGTAGAGAAGCCGGCTCGCGTGGTCTGATGCAACAGTTGTGCTTGGACTTCTGTACTAGTACGACTACTCTGTGCTAATCAATTTGATAATTCTTACTTACATCTCATATTCATTCAAATATTTAAATCATTCATTAAATCTAAATAATTATAGTAGATTCAATTATACTCTAAATTCTCAATTCATTTAAATCAGTTTAATAGTTCAGTGAATTAACATAAATAAAATCAAGTAAATTTATTTAGTGACGCCACGCGGCCATTACGCGCCACCGTGACAAAGGATTGCATCAGCCACGCGGCTTTAGTCAATCCATAATTGACGCGTAATATTAACCATTAATTAAATTGAATTAATTATTAACATTTAATAACGATCTTATTTAATTTAACTTATAAATAATTAAATTCAAATTTCAAATCATCTGACTAATTTCTACACGATAAACATCAAACTCAATTGACTAACATTCTGTTATCAATCGAATATTATTAGCTCTCACCTAGAGACAATTGAACATTAATAGCTCTCACTCTGAGACAGTTCAAATTAATTAGATATTACCAGCTCCCACCTTGGGACTTATCTAATTCAAATTATCGATAATTTTCTATCTAAGGCGGCTGAGCTCACCCCTATTGCGTTATTGCAACGTAATTTACACACACACACTTACACACATACAACTTACTTGTATAATTTTCATCAAGGAGGTTTTTCCCAGCCTAGCTGGGTTTTCCTCCTTTGGGGACAAATAAATTCTTCTAATTGTTCCCCAAAAATTCCAAGTATTATTATTTAATTTCTTAATCCCAACTTTATCATATAATTTAAAACAATTACGGGAATTATCCGCATTGGATAGTTTTCGACAAAACATGCTAATTGGAATATTAGCTATTCCGTGTATTTCTATTATATCGTTCCTATCTATTTGATTACTATTTCTTATAAACTTAGCTTTAATTAGATTGGGTGAAGCCCCGGAGTCCAACATCATAACGACGTCGTCTCCACCGGGCGTCTTACCCGCTACCGCATAGGGTAGATTATCTATATCTACGCTAACATTCACCTTGTTTATTCGGAATCTTCCTCGGGGGATGGTTCCACCGAGAAGTTCACCGAACGCTGAGGTTGATTGCTCTTGCCCGCATCCTGAGGAAAAGAAGCATTATTCTGTATAGGGATAGAAGGATTGTTGACGTTCGGCATAGTGAAAGAGTTATTATTAGGGAAAGGAGTATTATTAATGAAAGGAGGATTGTTAGGGAAAGAATTAGGGAAAGGGATGTTGTTATTGTTTGGCGCATTATTTGCGAAACGCCGGACAGCGCGACATTCATTGGTATCATGTCCGCCGGTATTATGATATTCACAAAATTTATTTGAATATTGATTGAAATTGTGGAATTGGCCCATGTTTTGGCCGAAAAGTTGGTATGGATTTGGTTGGGGGACTTCGTTTTGATTTGGGGAACTAAGGTTAGGAAATTGGGCATTTTGGTTGAAATTTTGATTCGAGAACTGATTGACGTTCGGGTTACGTGTTTGTTGATTGAATTAAACCGGAACCATTCTTTTATATGGATTCGTAGGACAGTACCTCGCGGTATGCCCATGATTTCCACATAACTGACATTTAATTCGCGCGTATGGATTATTTGGAGTGATTGAATTTATTGGAGCACATTCTTTAGCCATGTGCCCTTTTGCAAAACAAATTTGACATGTAATCTCCGGACAGTTCTTGGCAAAATGTCCCGGCTGTTTACAATTATTGCACGTATTTGTATAAGCTGTTAAGTTTAGATTACTAAAATTTAGGTCTTGGTCTGAAGTTTGGTTTTGATTTTGTTCGTTTTTGTTTTTCTTTTTATCTTTTTTAATTTCGGGGTTGTTAAGAGTGGGAGAATCGGTTGAGGATGGTAAGGTGAGGGTTACGGGTTGATCTTCGCTCCTTTTTCCCTTGTCCTTTTTTTGATTATTTTTGTTGGGGTCGCGGCGCATCTCTTTACGAGCATTTAGTTTTTTTTCTATGCTAATGGCTTTAGTGAGGGCTTCATCTACCGTAGCGCATGTTGTCATACGCTGATTTATTTCGTTAGTTAAATTCTGTGTGAAACAGTTGGCGATAGATCGTTCAATTTTGGACTCAAAATCGGTTATAACCGTCTGTTGCAAATTAGGGTTTTCAACTTTGTAACACTCCAGAATTTTACGACCTTTCCTCCGGAGTCTATTCACAAATTCGACCACAGACTCCCCTTCTTTTTGGTACATTCGTCCGAGTTCACCCTGGAGCTGAAAGAGGGTTTTATTCGGGATGTAAATTTTTTTTAGTGCCGTCGTTAAAAGAGCGATCGCGGCTGGGACCTCAATGTTAAGGGAAGTTTTGACCTTGCTACCTAATTTGACTCCATATATGAGTTTTGCGAGGTTTCCTTCGGCTTCGCCCGGCAGAACGGACTTTGCTTCTTTACAACAGTTCAAGAAGTCTATTAGTTCATTGGGATTGCCGTCGAACTTCGGTACAAAGGACAACGTGTCTGACAAGGAGATATTTTGATTAGGTGCGATCGCCATAATGACGGGTCTTGGGTTAAGAAATGGACGCGCAACTGGTTCTACGTTCAAAATCTGGTCAATAATTTGTTGTGCAACCCGAAGAGGATTGTTCTGTTCGGCCGGTTGAATTTCGAAAACGTCTGGAGCAACAGGTCCTATTTAGGGAGGGTCAATGCGGATCTCAGGTGGAACAACTACATGAGGAGCGATCAAGTTCGGTATTTCTGGAGGTGGCAACAATGGATTTGCAACTCTGGAGCTTCCCACTGAACTTTCTGGACGTGAAGGATCGTCCTCGTCGTCTGAAATCTCAGGTTCGTTTAAAGTATTACCTAAACCTGAATCTATGGTATAATCAATAAATTGGAAATTACGAGGTTTACGAGTTACTGGCGGCAATCCTTCGGAAAAAGGCGCAGTTCCCTGACCTCTCAGAGAATACAGTTTCTTGGGGTCATCATTGGACATAGAGACCCAATATTCAGAAAAAGGTAGTCAAACAACAAAAAAAAAAAGAGGATTTTAGTGCCTAAAGACTAAGATTTCAAATGAGCTAGTATACTTATGAGGTGTTCTCAAGTTATCTTTTTAGTATATTAATGATTCAAATTTACTGTCAATTCTACTGATTTCATGAAAATTAGATCAATGTTTACATCTATTGGGATCATTCTCAGTAAAGCTGAAGGACATAGATCAGCGATTAAGTGCAGATAATCGTCCCAGTTCTTACTCTTCAGAAAATAAAACGTTATCAAAAGTAAAAAAAGCTTTGCCATTGAACAATAAAGATGATATAACCCAATTTGAAACTGATTTGGAAAAAGTTACCGATTTTCGTCGAGAATTTGTAAGTTTACTTTATAATCTATTGTCTTTATCACATAATTACTTCCTGTCACTGTCAGTAAATCAATCGATTGAAAATACTTAAAAATATTTAGTCTAATGATGTTTGAGTTGGAAGGCTTATTTTTATTAATTGATGTATGATTAGTAATTTGTAAATATGAACGCAGGTGAAAATCGTCAGTCAAGTTGGTGGAGCGAATGGTAAGGAGTTCAGTGAACGAGTATTAAACGTGCTATTTTCTCCGTCATTTGCGCAGCACAATACATGGGAAGGAAAAAAAAACAAATACAAGGTTGCTGATCTAAAAGTTGTTAAAATTTGCGAAGGTAAGAGACATTATTGAAATGAACTGAAAATATTCAAAATTGTGTTTTTTTTTCAATCAACATTTTTTTTTAATATAAAAATTTTATTCTCAGAGGTGGTATTGGCAAAATTTACGTCTTATGACAGTGCTGAATTTTCAAAAACCTGTAATAATTGGTTCCGATTAGGAAATCAAAGGGCAAAACAGCAGCCAGCGCAAGTACAAAAACAAAATCAACAAGTAAATAATGATCGATCAAGTAAAAATAATAATTAAAATTCAAAAAGTTTAAATAATGACTTATAAAAACAAAGTAGATGGCATTAAAACATGCAAGATTACTTCAGTAAATTTAATTATATTTATGACTTTTACTTTTTATATTTTGACCTTTTTGGATTGTAATCATTGCAATGACCACCCAAAAGTATTAAGATTTTTCGTTCTATAAGAATATTTGTGTGTATTAGAGACTTATGCAGTAGTATAAAATTTGAAATATTGCTGCGAGTTAATAATGATTACAATCGAAAAAATTCGAATATTTATAAAATAAAACATGCAAAAACTACTTAAGTAGACTAAGTTATATTTGCTACTCTTATTTTCGATATTCTAACTTTTTGAATCGTAATCTTTAGAGTGATCAAAAAGGATTATGAATCTTTATTTAATAATAAAATTGTTTTTGTTTTAAGTTTGCAGTAATTGCGATCCAATAAGTTAAAAAAATTGATTATTAAAACATGCAAGATTACTTCAGTAAAGTAAATTATATTTATGATTTTAATTTTTTATATTCTAATCTTTTTGGATTGTAAATATTGCAATGATCACCAAAAAGTATTAAGATTTTTCGTTCTATAAGAATATTTGTGTGTATTAGAGACTTATGCAGTAGTATAAAATTTGAAATATTGCTGCGAGTTAATAATGATTACAATCGAAAAAATTCGAATATTTATAAAATAAAACATGCAAAAACTACTTAAGTAGACTAAGTTATATTTGCTACTCTTATTTTCGATATTCTAACTTTTTGAATCGTAATCTTTAGAGTGATCAAAAAAGATTATGAATCTTTATTTAATAATAAAATTGTTTTTGTTTTAAGTTTGCAGTAATTGCGATCTAATAAGTTAAAAAAATTAGTTATTAAAACATGCAAGATTACTTTAATAAATTAAATTATATTTATGACTTTGATTTTTTATATTCTCACTTTCTGGATTGTAATTATTGTTGTGATAAGCAAAAAAAGATATTATTTTTCGTTCTATAAGAATATTTATAAGTAGGTTAAAGATTAACGCAATATTAATAACCATAAGATTTTGTTATTAGTTATATATGATTACAATTCAGAAAGTTAGATTATCAAAATCGAATTATATTTTTAATTCTTATTTTTTGGATCGTAATTATTAGAGTGATCATAAAAGAGGTATTATTCACTTATCATTTAATGATAAAAATATTCATTTGTGTTGAACATTTAAGGTATATATTGTGAAATATGAAATTTTATTATTAGTTTAAAGTAATTGCAATCTAAAGAGTAAAAATATTCAATTAATAAAATATATAAGATTACTTCAGTCAACTAAATTATATTTATTGCTAATATTTTTGGTATTGCAGCTTTTTAGATTGTCATTATTTTAATGATTAACAATAAAGAGTATTATTATTCTGTTTCACGATATAAATATTGATGTATATGTTGAAAATTTACGCAATATTTAATATTACTAAGTTCAATATTCTGTTATTATTAGTTCACAATAATTACAATTCAAGAAGTTGAGATATCAGGAATAATTTTAGTTACGGTTAACATTGATAATTAACAAGAAACTAGTTAACTTATTTAAGATGAACTAGTTTTATTATTTGAAACTTTTTTTATTCCCACTTCTTGGATTGTAATAATTGTGATATAATAGTTTAAAATACAATTAAGAAAGAATGCCAAAACATTTAATGTATTAAAAATATAAAATACTATTATTCTAGATATTATCAATGACGCTAAATAAGTCGTGTCATGACAAAGCAAATTAATATTATATGACTCTTAATTATAAAGCAAACCTTTTAAGATTAAAATAGGTACTTTTGAGTACTTATTATATATTAAAAATATTTTTCAAACGATTGCTCAACTTGAATCTTAAAAAATTAAAGTTGCAATGATAAAAACGTTTAATAATTTGTTTTTTGATTGTGTTTTTTTTTTTTGTAGAATTTGATAATGATTAATAAACAGTTTCTTACTATGAATTAAACATCGTTTAATTCTTTGTCCGTTATACGGAAACTTCAAAATTTGAAGTGAATTTCAGTAGAGATGTAATTTTTTATAAGTTTTTAATGTATGTGGTATCCCTAGCGGTTTCACCGCTACGGTTATAATATGGTCAATTCACGGTCAAGCATTGGTCAAACATTAGTCTATATGAAGTGATTTGATGGTCTACATCAGATGTCATTGTGAACGTTTTTGACGATTGATTTACCGACTGTAGATCCGAGAAATACCTTTTTCTGCGGGTGAATTTACGGTGATTTGACCGACATTTCACCATCAATTCACCCGCATATAACTGGCAAACAACTAGCTCATTGCGGTCGTTTCATCGTGCCATCGTAGGAACCCGATGAAAGAAAACAGGTGCATTCACCCAGAATAATCGATATTAAGCTCGTAAAATGTTCGCCTATACGATAATATTAAAAAAAAAAAATTCATTGTAAAATAACTTCGTCCAGACCGGGGATCGAACTCGGTTCACCTGTTTGAAAGTCAAGAAATTTTCCTTTAATGCTATCCCAGACGTGTATTAAAGATGCATTTTAATCACCATGTATTTTACGGATACTTAATTTAGTTTTGATAATTATTTCTATTCCATGAATTCTAAATAATAAATCATTCTGTGAATTTGTCAGCCAAAATAAATGCATTAAATTTTATTAATCAAAAAAAATTTTTTTTTTTATTTCATGAGCTCATATTAAATTTAATATTTCATAAAACAAAAAATCCTCAAATTTTACAAAGATTTATAAAAGGTGTTTTTTTATAATGTCAAAAATTATAGTTACTGAATACTTTGTCAAATTATTTTTATTAACTAATTACTTATCTTTTATTAGCCCCATATATTAATTTATGAAATTTTTTTACATTTACAAATAAAACTTCATCGAGCAATTTATCAACGGATCGCTGGTATAAAATTTCTACTTTACCGTTACTATCTTCTTTACCGCCATTTCACCTGCAATTCACTCGCAGACTACCGTGGATTCACCACGGAAATACTCTTTGTTCACCGAATTTTTACTAGTCATTCACTGTTGTATCTATGTCTGAAAACGATCAAGAGGTCGGAAAATCATCGTTATAGAGTGGGAAAAAAATGAAGAAAATCTTGTGAATGTTCACTGTATGAACCATGCAATCACCGTCAGAACATTTCACAACTTCACTTATTTTTCACCGTCGAACGACGGTTGTTCGACCACCAATAGACTTTCTTTCATCGGTGAAGTGAATTCACGGTGAATTCACCGTCGTTTGACCGTAGTTTGACCGTCACCAAGAATCCGCTAGGGATACTGTTAAGTAGTTGTTGAAAAACGTAATTCCGTTGACAGATGTGATTAGCGATATTTAATTTGGAAATCATAAATTACCTGTAATTTTGATTAAACAGTGTTGTGAAATTTATATAAGGACGTAATTTTATAATATAAAATATTTAGGCGTACAGTATCACACCATTTTATGTCTATTCTGTCTATTTGACGTCAGATCAAATACAGTACTATCAATTTAAGATCATAATAGAGTAAGACGAAAACAAAAATATGACGTCATTGTTACATTAGCTTGACGTCAGTTAGATTACATTGAAGTCAATTTGAGATCACACGAAGGTCAGATTTACGGAAAAAAAACTCGAGATCACTATGATGTCATTATTATAACAGATTGACGTCAGATTAGTCATAATGATGTCAAATAGACGTCATATTTACGTCACATATTTTACGTCAAAGTTTTACGTCAGGAGGTATGAAATACTGAGTCATATATGACTCATATGTGACTTACATCTTACGTAAATCATGACATAACATGATGTCATCCTGACGTAAATTTTACGTAAATGTGATTACTGGGTAACCTCCTCGACAGCCCGTGAACGAGGAGTATACACTAATGGAAAAAATTAAGGGATCAAAAAAAAATTCCAAATTTTTCGGTAATTTTCAACAGGCCGTAACTTTGAGAGAATTTCTTTGACAGAATCTAGAAGGAAGAAATAACATCTTAGCCACCAGAAGCAAGAGCGGCAGCTTATTCCTCTCCCCGCGAAGAAATGCCTTACGGTTGTACCATGGGGGATCAGAGAATAGAAGAGAAAGGGGTTTAGGGTTTAGTGGGTAGGGGCGTCAGCGTCGAGTTTTAGTATGACGCTGCGTCGAGTCGCCACATATCCAGGCCAAACAGCTATGCTTTGAATCCGTAAAAAGGATTCTCCCCCCCCCCTAAGGGAAAAAAAAACACACACACACACATATGCATATAGACATACAGACACCATCGCGGGAATAGTCAGAGAAGCTTCCTAGGAATTCAAAACGTCGAGATCTGATGAAAATTCGATTTTCGAAAAATGGGGTAAAAACAATAACTTTCCGATTTTTGAAAATTTTTAATTTTCTTAGCGGGAAGTTAAAAATTTTTTTAAATGTGGTTTTTTTGGAATAACTTGTAAACGGCTTTACCGATTAATTCCAAAAACTAATCAGCTCTTAACATCAAAAAACCACGTCGATCGCTGCCAGTTCGGTCAAAATCGGTTAATTCGTTCGTGAGTTATCGTTGACGAAAGAAAACCGAAATAAGTATTTTTTCGGAATTACTCCAAAATTCGTAGTTCGATAAAATTTAACTTAAAGATTCTTTATGAGACTTGAAAAATTACATTGAATGCCGCCAACCGCGTAAAAATCGGTCCATTCATTTAAAAGTTATCGCAGTTTGAAAATTTTAAAAATAGTGTTTTTGTGAAACTTCTATCAGACTTTCGAGCTCGAAAATCTAAATAATATTTGTATGGATTTATATGGATAAAAAATAAATGTCAATCAACAAAATACAGTTAACTTAAGTGTGAACATGTTTAAAAAAGTTCAGTAATAAGACAACAACGTCATTTTAACGTTTTCGGCGACACTTACGGTAGATACGAGGTTTCTGA